ATAGTGCCCAGGGATGTGCAGGTTAGGGTGGATTGGGGGATGGGGGGTGGGAGTTGGGGGAGAGGGGTTGTGGGGTGAAGGTGTGGAATAGAGTTGCCTCTCTTACTGGTCCGTACGGTCCCATGGGCTCCTGGCTCTGCTTTTCCTGCAGGGCAGCAACGGTTGCCGTGGCAGCGACAGTTGCCGTGGCGGCAGCGACGGCGACGGCCGTGGGCTGGGCGAAGTGCGCCGGAGGCCTGGAGTGCGACAAAAGGCCCATCCCCTCAGATGATGCCAGGCTACCCGTGTAGCTACGGGCAAGGATGGCGAGGGAGAGAGAGAGAGAGAGAGATGAGAGCATTACAGGCAAGAGGAGTCATGTTTGCAGGTGTGTCTTCCAACCGAGGCGCACCCTGTGTACCCTCATTACGCAGCAGTGTGCGGGATCTTGCTGTGCACACATGGGCTGCCCAGTTTCCTCCTGTCAGCCATCCTTCCTTCTCTTTTCTGCGAGAATCCACACAATTCCTAACATTCTGGTCAAAGCAACCTTCACAGGAAGGGGGCCTTTCACAGGCAATTTTTGGTCAACTTTCACCAGGAATTCAGGTTTGCTGCCCAGCATGAGGCCCTTTGGCCCGTCGAGTCTGTGCCAACGACCTCGCTATTCCAATCCCCATTTCCCAGCACTTGGCCCACAACATGGCGAGTGCCCATCTAAATCCTTCTTCAATGGGATGGGGGTTCCTGCCTCTCCCACCCTTACAGGCAGTGAGTTCTAGATTCCCCACCAGCCTCTGGGGGAAAACATTTTTCCTCACGTTCCCCTCTAAACCTCCTGTCCCTTCCCTTAAATCTGTGCCCCCCCTCCCCAGGTATTCATCCCCCACCAAGAGGAAAAGTTCCTTCCTGTCTACCCTATCGATACCCCTCATCGTTTTATCCATCTCAATCACGTCCCCTTCCTCTCAATCTCCTCTGCTCTAAGGAAAACAACCCCAGTCTGTCCCAATCCCTCTTCAAGAACTGAAACTCTCCAGCCTCCACAAGGCAACAACCTGGTAAATCTCCCTCTGCTCCCTCTCCCAGTGCTATCACATCCCTCCTATAATGTGGATTCCAGAACTTGCACACAATACTCTCGCTGTGTGGCCTAACCGATGTTTTATATACAGTTCCCAGCCAAACCTCCCTGCTCCTAAACCTACGCCTCGGTTAATGAAGGTAAGTATCCCATAATCCTTCTGAACCACTCTATCCCCCTGTCCCGCTACCTTAAGGGACCAGGGTACATGCACAGCAAGATCCCTCTGACCCTCAGTGTTTCCCAAGGTCCTACTGTCCATCCGATATTCCCTCACTTTGCTTGTCCTGCCCAGGTACATCACCATGTTGGGGCTTTTTAAAATATTTATAGTTGCGTCATTGTTTTGATTCTCACTTGGCTCTTGTAAGAATCCCAAAACAGTACTTTCTACACTTGAGCACAGAGACAATCTCTCCCATGCCCCATTGATTATGGGGACTGTTAGAAATGGAGTAAGTCAGCCGCACAGCAACTTTTCAGAAAGAGTTTTTGCATTGTGTCACACACTCTGTTACAGAGAAGCAGCTTCCAGTTTCCTCTGTGTCAACAGCCGAGCCGATCTGGGCAGCAATAGAAGCCAAAAAGGCAGCAGATGCCAGAGACCTGGGGAAAAAAAAACCCAGAAAGTTCTGGAGAAACTCAGCAGGTGTGTGCAGGCAGAGAGAGAGAGAAACCGTGTTGATATTTCGAGTCTCGTATGACTGCTTTGGAATGTAACTGAACGCACCATGGAGCCATACAGCATGGAAACAGACACTTCGACCCAACCAGTCCATGCTGACCATAATGCCAAACTAAACTAGTCCCACCTGCCTGCACTTGGCCCATATCCCTCATAACTTTTCCTAATCAGGTACGTATCCAATGTCTGTTAAACATTGTAACTGTACCCACATCCACGACTTCCTCTGGAAGTTCATTCCACACACAAACCACTCTCTGTGTAAAAAAGTTGCCCCTCATGTCTTTTTTAAATCTCTCTCCTCTCACCTTAAAAATATGCCCTCTAGTCTTGAAATCCTCCACCCTAGGGAAAAGACACCTACTATTAACCCTATCTATACGCTTCATGACTTTATAAACCTCTATAAGGTCACCCCTCAAACTCCTACGCTCCAGTGAAAAAAGTCCCAGCCTCTCCTTATAACTCAAACCCTCCATTCCTGGCAACATCCTGGTAAATCTCTTCTGAACCCTCTCCAGCTTAATAACATCCTTCCTATAATGGGGCAACCAGAACTGGACACAGTGCTCCAGAAGAGGCCTCACCAATGTTCTGTACAACCCCAACATGACGTCCCGACTCGTCATCACAACTTGGTGAAATCTAGATTCAACCGAATGGTAAAAGTGAAAGGAAAATACCAGCTTCGTTGGTGTGCTAGCTCGAGAGGACACCGAGACCCAGTGCGGCTCATGTGAAGACTGTCCTGACGTTGTTGTTACCTTCCTGAGTAGCCCATTCCTCCAGGATGGCCGGGCCGTCTGTACAGGCTCGGCTGCATGTGCCCCTTACTGGAACTGGTATCTGCGGTTGCAAACAGCTGCTGTCCCATGAACTGCAGAGAATTCATTCCCTCCCCGTCTGCAGACAAAACGTGGGCCTTGCTGGGCACCGCCGAGCTTCCCAGAACCTGTGGAAAAGGGCAGAGTAAACAGGTGGGGTCAGGGAGGCAGGGGTGGAGCAGGCACTGTTCTTTGGAATGACACAAAAATAGCAGCTCGCCCTTGTTTCACACACGCACACACTCTCTCACATGCAAGCACACACTCGCGTGCGCGTGCACACACACACACACACACACACACACACACACACACACACACATGCATAGGCTCACAATGAAACACACACTCTCCATCGCCCTCACACACACACACGCTTGTTCACACAGACAGACAGACACACGTGCACACACACACACTCGCTCATCCAGACAGACACACTCTCACACACGCAGACACGCTCTCACACACGCAGACACACGCACACGCACACGCAGACACTCACACAGACTGAGCCTGGGATTTACAGCAGCAGAATGACAGGGAAGCAATAGCAAGTATTTGCAGGTTCCCGCCAACAGCAACAAGATAGGCAATGCCTTAATCCGATATCAGTCACGTCCTTTAAAGACTGGCCAGAGGATGCTGGGGGAAACAGGGAGTGAGAACCGCCCGGTTCCCAATTTGAAAGACTTTCCCGAGGAAGAGTTATCTCCCAGACCAGAAGGATGAGTACCTATACCGGTGTGAAGAGGGGCACTGGGGCCTCCACAGAGTTAGCAATTCCGATCCCACGGGAGGGCACAGTTCAGCAGAAGGCGAGAAGGACAATCCGCAGTTTGGGAATCTGTCTGATCAGGACAAATACATCCAGGTCACAACATGAGAAAACTGCTGCTGAAGGGAGCAGTCAGTTCCAAGTTGGGCAGCAGGAGAGAAGGAGAAACGTGTCTGTTCTCTCACAAAACTGAAATGCGAGCGGACCAGTTTGAAGTGGATGTCAAGACCAGAGTAAGCAGAGCCCAGCTAGAGACAATCCCTCCCTCAAAAGTAATGGTGACAATGCTCGGGGAACAAAGCTACTTTAGAAACGTCAAAAATCGGAGCGGGGGAGACCTTCGGCCCTTTGAGCCTGCCCCCGCCATTCAATCTGATCATGGGCTGATCATCCAACTCTGTCCCCTGCTCCCCTCTTTCACCCTTTGATCCCTAAGAACTACATCCAACTCCTCCCTGAAAACACTCAATGCTTTGCTCCCCCAACCACTTTCTGTGGCAGAGAATCCCACAGGCTCCCCCCGCACTCTCTGGGTGAAAACATTTCTCCCCATCTCAGTCCTATCCCCGTTACCATAAGACTGTGACCCTCCCAGGTTCTGGGCTGCCCCCTGGGTCATCGGGAACATCCTTTACCCTGTCAAGTCCCTGTTAGAATTCAATAGGTTTCTGTGAGCTCCCCACCCCCTCATTCATCTAAACTCTGGTGACTATAATCCTAACCCAATCCGGTCTCTCCTCATCCGTCAGTCCATGCCATTCCAGGGAATACAACTCGTTGGGATGGAATAATTCCTGAATTCTCATCCAGGAGGCATAAAACATTATCCCAGAAGTGCTAACAGGAAGCTCAGACAAAATTGAATTCCCTTTCCATTCCAAAGGTGAACTTTTAAGGTCTTGAGGATAACTTTTGAGTCATAGCGTCACACAGCACGGAAACAGACCCTTCGGCCCAACAGTCCGTGCCAACCATAATCCCAAACTAAACTAGCCCCACCTGCCTGCTCCTGGCCCATATCCCTCCAAACCTTTCCTATTCACATACTTATCCAAATGTCTTTTAAACGTTGTAACTGTACCCACATCCACCACTTCCTCTGGAAGTTCATTTCACACACGAACCACTCTTGGTGTAAAAAAAATTGCTCTTCATGTCTTTTTAAAATCTTTCTCCTCTCACCTTAAAAATATGCCTCCTAGTCTTGAAATCTCCCACTTTAGGGAAAAGACACCTGCCATTAACCCTATCTATACCCCTCATTATTTTATAAACTTCTATCAGGTCGCTTCTCAACCTCCTACGCTCCAGTGAAAAAAGTCCCAGCCTCTCCTTATAACACAAACCCTCCATTCCCGGCAACATCCTGGTAAATCTCTCCTGAACCCGCTCCAGTTTAATAATATCCTTCCTATAACAGGGCAACCAGAACTGGACACAGTGCTCCAGAAGAGGCCTCACCAACGTCCTGTACAACCTCAACATAATGTCCCAACTCCTATATCAAAGGTCTGAGCAATGAAGGCAAGCGTGCTAAATGCCTTCTTAACTCCCGTGTCTCCATGTGAAGCAAACTTCAAATAATTATGTACCTGAACCCCTAGGTCTCCCTGTTCTACAGCACTACCCAAGGCCCCACCATTAATTGTATAAGTCCTACCCCTGTTTGTTTTACCAAAATGCAAGACCTCAATACCCAAGTCAATGGCAGGAAGTGTTAGGCAAGTTCCTTTGGAAATTCAGGATTTGGGATTAGCGATCAGTCGAGACCCCCTTGGCCAATTATGGCTCTGAGTCGACCCTCGGCTGTTTCGCTGTACATCACGTTGGGATTTGACTGGTCTTTGGGCCTAACCCCCTAACCGCCCCCACCATCTTCCTGGTGTCGGACACAGGAGGATGGGCCGACGATATCACCGGGGAGGGATTTGTTCGAGCAGGAGCTGAGTTTTGGCATGGGGTGGGGGAGGAGGTGGAAGCAGGGAAAGAAGGCGAGAAAAGTGAGACGGAGGTATTTCAGTGAGTGGGACGATGTTGGCCAAGTGGGTCACACTGAGTCCGAGACTGGGGAAAGTTAATCTGGTCCATTTGGGGAGCCCTGGCTGACAGAAACGTCACGGCGAAAGCAAATGACTTTGCCCCCCCCCACCGAAACTTTAGCAGGAACAAGTGCAAAATGACCGTGCAATCATTCTCTTCCCCGTTTTTGATAGATTTCTTGCAGCTCCTGGTGAGTCGGGGGCCTCAAAAGCGAACGATAATGGAAGATGGCTCTGTAAATTGAATTGGGTGGGGGGGAGGGCAAGTAATGAGGTGGGGGCAAGTTTGGAAGACGAATGGATTTCACCTGACTTTGAGATGTATTACTGATGCCCCACGTTCCAGTCACCACAGAGCCAAGGGACAGAGCCATTGAATAGCCCACCACTGAGATGAGCCTTCCCCTTCCAGGAGGGAGTCTGTGCACCGGCTGCGCGAGTGACCTGGTTTGGGTGGGTGCGGGGGTTTGGCCGCGACCTTTAGCCTGCACCAGCGCGGGCTCCTAGAGTGCGGGCAGGTACGGCACGCCGCGTGGGGGTTTTCAACTGACCTGCGAGGCACAGGCAGGAGCGAAGACTTCATGAAGCTCGCGGGTAGCGGCGCCTCGACCGCGGCGTCGCTCGCACAGGCGGTGGGATGTCGCGGAAGTAGCAGCCTCCCCGGCTCCTCACGCCGCAATGGCAGAAGGGCTGCAGGGATGAAGGAAAATGAAACGGTCAGGGCCACAGACCGAGATCCAAAACTAAAATCCCCCCACCCCCTCCCACCCCTCCAAGCTGAGGCACCGGACCCCACTCCAATATCCTGCTACCCCATTCAATAGGATCGCGGCCGATCCCACATTCCTCACGTCCGCTTTCCTGCCCCTTTCTCCCCCCACCGTGATTCCCCGACTGATCAAGAATCTATTGATCTCAGCCTTAAATATACACAAGGACTCTGCCCCCGCCCACACAGTTCTCTGTGGTGAGGATCCCAAAGACTCCCAACCCGCCCAGGAGAAGAAATTCCTCCCCATCTCAGTCTTCAGTTGGTGCCCCCTTTACTCTGAGGCTGTGCCCTCTGGTCCTAGACTCTCCCGTGAGGGGGAACACCCTCTCAGCATTGACCCTGTCAATATGTTTCAATGGGATCGCCTCTCATCCTCCTAAACTCCAGAGAGTCAGAGTCCCGACCTGTTTAGCCTTTTCCCATAAGACAATCCCTCCATCCCCGGGGATCGTCCCAGTGAACCTTCTCCGAACTGCCTCCAATGAAATGATATCTTTCCTTAAATATGGGGGGGGAACCAAACCCGCTCACAGTTCTCCAGATGTGGTTCCCCCACCTTCCCACCTCCCCACCTCCCCACCTCCCCCCAGCACCTGGTCCAGTTGCAGTAAGAATTCCCTACTCTTCTACTCCAACCCCCTTGGAATAAGGGCCAACATTCCATTGGCCGTTTCTGATTCCCTGCTGTCCCTGTGTGCGAGCTTTCTGTGTTTCGTGTACAAGTGCCCCCTGTCACATCCCTTTGTGTTACAGCTTTCTGCAGTCTTTCTCCATTGAAATTATACTCTGCTCTTTTGCTCTCCCTTCCAAAATGACCAGCCTCACAATTTCCCATTTGCCAACTTTTGCCCACTCCCTTAATCTAGCAATATCTCTTTTTGTGGTCTTTACCCAATTACAGACACATAGAGCTGAACGGTATGGAAACAGAGCATAAAGTCCCACTCGTCCATTAATCCAGTCCCATTTGCCGGCATTTGGCCCATATCCCTCAGAACCCTTCCTATCCATGTACCCATCCAGATGCCTTTTAAATGTTGTCATTGTACCAGCCCCCACCACTTCCTCTAGCAGCTCGTTCCATACACGCACCACCCTCTGTGTGAAAAAGTTGCCCCTCAGGTCCCTTTTAAATCTTTCCCCTCTCACCTTAAATCTATGCCCTCGGGTTTTGGACTCCCCTACCCTGGGGAAAAGACCCACCAACCCTGGCAACATCCTTGTAAATCTTTTCTGCACCCTTTCAAGTTTCACAACATCCTTCCTGTAGCAGGGAGACCAGAATTGCACACAGTATTCCAAAAGTGGCCTCACCAATGTCCTGTACAGCCGTAACATGATCCTCCCAACTCCTACACTCAATGCACTGACCAATAAAGGCAAGTGTACAAAACACCTTCTTCACTGCCCTGTCTACCTGCAACTCCACTTTCAAGAAACTATGAACCTGCCC